CTTCATTTAGGAATTCAGTCTCTAAAAAGCACCATTATCTGAGTGTTTCTGTTTTTTTATGCGTCAGTCTTTTTCATTGACCTCTGCTATAGAAATGGTCACTTGATGGGTCAAAATGGCCTGTTAACTTCGAGGTTTGAGCACTGTATTGTACAGTTCTGTCCTATTATTATAACTGCCTCAGAAAGCAGGATGACTGTAATGTCTTGTAATCTCCTGTTGCCTGTGAATTGTCATAGTTCAGACTAAAAGGCCTTTGGCTTTATTTCTTTAAAAAACAGTCCCACACGCACAAAAAAACTGTTTAGTGCACTTGGACCTCTTTTTGAGTGTGGGCCTTATACGTTTTTGCATCTATTTCCCATCAGGTGTTGCCAAGGGATTAGAGCCTGCTGTTATGTTATGCACCAACAAAAAGACTCCATCAACAAAGCTAGAAGAGTGTGATGGTCTCTCAGGGATCTCTTTGGTTGTATGCTTTTGTGTGGCTAGAATGAGAAAAGGGGAATTAAATGGGGTGAAAACCTCTCTGTAAAATGGAAGGACCTCTAGGTTCTGATTTGACTAACCCTGCTCTATAGCATTGCTATGTGCATCTATTCCAGAGGTGTGTAGTGCCTAAGTCCATGGAGACATAATGTGCAAGGCTGTGCAGTGCAGGCCTGGTGAGGTGAGTGTGGAGGTTAGGGAAGTGGACTTGGTAGAAGGCATGGAAGGGGGGACTGGAGGGCGGGTGGGGGCTGTCCAGGTGATTGGAGCCGGAGGTGGGGTCCTCACTGATGCCACTGTCACTGGGCGAGGAGGGGAAGGAGGGCCACAGGGGAGAGGCAGGGGCAGACGATGAGTCAGTGCCACCTAACAGGGAATCCAGGAAATCATCACTGCCACCTACTGTGTGTGTGTGTGTGTGTGTGTGTGTGTGTGTGTGTGAGTGTGTGTGTGTGTGTGTGTGTGTGTAGGGTGATATACATGCAGAGAGGGGGAAAAGACATCATCAGACATACAGTATACAAATAGGTTACAGGTTATGTTACTATACAGAATAATACTATACTATCCTGAATAATGCAGTCACACAAACACACACACATATACACCGTGTTATGATTGAGGTCTGACAGTTCTAGTGAAGGCCCCATCGTCCATGACTCTTGACCCCACAAGCTGCCAATCAGAGCCATATATTTAGAAATATAAGTATATGGCTCTGCTGTCAATCAATCACTGTCATGATTGAAACCATTGACTGGACGCAGTTTATAATAGCGCACTGCGCTTTATTACGAGCGACAGGTTCAGTACACATCACTGCATTCTGTATCAGAACGTAGGCTGGCCCTCGTTGAAGTCACGTAGATTGATTCGTTACTCTCTTTTTATTTATAAAGGCCTCCTGCATAAACTTCCGCTGTACCTTACTTCATTGTTAACTTATAGACGTACGAGATACCAGACCCAGTCTCAGGGATGATTACTCTGGAGATCCCTTCAGTCTCCACTGAGTTAGGTTAATTATCTTTCAGTAAAAACATGTCCCCCCTCCTTACATAAGCCTCTCAGAATATTAACATGGATGCTGAGAACACCAATCAGAGTCAATGAATAATCCTGACTCTTCCTATAGATAAACAGATAAACAGTAGAATATATGACTCCATAACACCAATAAATATAGATGGTTCCTGGGTTGAGAAGACTCAAATAAGTCACATATCTTCCTCATAGAGGAAGAAGATACAGTACTTTCAAAGATAAACCTTTGACGTTTATTACTGTAATAGCGTTAAGTCAACATAGCCTGTCTTTATACTGTATCATTACAGAACCCACAAAAGTGTCTTCAAACAGAAATCTTAATATGATCACAATGCTCTTTGGTGAAGCCACTTCAAACAATCAATGACAAAGCACACAGATCATCAGTCCCTGAGTAGAGGGGAAGGATGAAAACCTGCAGTGGTGCGGACATCAAGGTACACATATGAATATTATCCCTGATGCTGCTGGGCACCATCATCCATGTAATGCAACACTAGATGAGATCTGGTTTAATGAACAAACAAGCATCTCTCTCTCTCTCTCTCTCTCTCTCTCTCTCTCTCTCTCTCTCTCTCTCTCTCTCTCTCTCTCTCTCTCTCTCTCTCTCTCTCTCTCTCTCTCTGTCTCAAAGTGTATTTATTGCTCCATTAAAACACTTTTATCTGTGAAATGGGACACAGAATGATCTGTATTTGTAACAACAGTATGCTAGCTGAATTATCTTATCTTTATTGTTGTTCTATGGGGAATTGAGAGCTCCAAAGGGCACATAGATATTACACAACAGCAATAAATAGTACACAGCAAATTGGCCAGTGTTGATTCAGGAGTTACAATCACTCTCTAAGAGTGAAATTAACACTCAGTGGTGTAAAAGTGTTGGTGTAAATACACAGAGTTATTGTTTTACACTGTGGAGAGTAAAACAGTCCAATCAAAACCACGCCCATCATTATCATATTTCCCAGTAAGCTCTAGCGCAAGTGTATTTTTTTAGGATTGTTTTTAAATGTCTGTGTTTTTGCATATACATTGATTGATTGATGAATCTTACGCTACACAAAGATAAATAACATATATCTTTCTAAACTAATGCAATCAGTTAGTTAGATTTATTGCACCCATAACCAAAATGGATTGTTCCAGTTTAAATGGTTTAGGTAGTCTCCATTACCAATTCCCATTATCCTAAAAGTCATTCTGAATGTGTGTTGTGGGTGAATTAACATTGTAACTGTTGGATATCCTAACTCTGTCTGGATTCCAATAGGAATTACTCTTCATTTTGCAAGCCAGCATAATGTGACTTGCAGGCCTGATGTGGCCTGTAAACCAGGAGTTTCCCAACACCACTGATTTAGGATAAAACTAGGCCATCAAAGTAAGGCCTTATGATATACAGTGTATAATGTATATTTTTTATAGAGTTTCATTTTAATGATAACATTCACCTAGGAACTCACTTCAACGACCATGTCTGTGTCACTAATATACAGTATATACTCATGGGTGGTAACTCTACAATTCACTCAAAAAGAAAAGGCACCCTGGGAAATATGCAAATTAGGCTTTACACCATACACAATTTCATTATATTTCACTCCACTGTAGAGTGAAATTGTGTTTTTTCATGCCACAGTAGAGTGTATTTTATATTTCACTCCAGAATAGAGTGAAATACTAATCAGTTCACTACAGTGTATAATGAAATGCCTATTAGTTCACTCCGGTGTATAGTTAAATCCTTAATATTTCACTCCAGTGTATTGTGAATTTCACACAGCCAGTGTTAATTTTCTACTCTGTATAGAGTTACATAAACACAGTCTAAATGTAACATTTTAACACTTTTGAAAGTGTTAAAGTCACTCTGTTGAGAGTGTATTCATATACACACCTCAAAAGTGTTTAAATTAACACTACGGCAAGTGAGTTTAACACTTCCGATTTTGCTGTGTAGCTATACATATATTTCCACCCTAGACATGCATGTTAGAAGTCACAATACATCGCCCATGTACTAATACAAGATCCAGTCCAGAATTACTTTACAGTAAGAGTTTTAATGTGGACACTACAGGAATCGAACCCACAACCTTACCATTACTTGTTTGTGCTGTACAGTATTGTCGAAACCAACTGAACTAAGCTGTGACATCACAGGTTCTCTTCCTATCATGTAGTAGTGCTGTCAATACGTGTGTAGCCTACACGGCATCTTATGGGTGCATCTCAATAATCAAGTAGCTTCCTCTCCTTGACTCCTTTCTTCCATCCGCACTGACATTAAATAACTGGACAGGTGAAAACACATTCCTGGAGGGCATCCAACATATTGCTTTCACCTTTGCTGTGTTGTCAGATCAGTAAAGATGAAGGAGAGGAAACAAGGAGTGGATGTAACTTTTACTGATATGCAGCCATATTATGTGTCCTCTCACACTCCCCCTGAGTCACTTGGAGTATGTGTATTTCTAAGTATCCAGTTTTGTCTTTGCACCATCAGAACGCTGGATCTTATCTTCTGGCTTCTGTGATAAGTCTGTTTACCCCCACATAACATTCTGGTTGTGATTGAAGGAATGTCTTGCTATATGTATTTCAAGGAAAAGACCCTGTGTTTCCCATAAATTAAAGTGATTAATGGATGATACTGAGTCAAACGTCACAGTTCAACCTTTATAGCTATATTACATTACAGCAATATTACTTTATATTATTGGAAGCAGTGTGTGTGTGTGTGTGTGTGTGTGTGTGTGTGTGTGTGTGTGTGTGTGCGTGCGTGCGTGCGTGTGTGTGTGTGTGTGTGACTCCATCCATTGAAGTGGTCCAGTCCAGAAACAACCCATATAGGCCCTAGTCCCTAGCCCTTAGCTCCTAGTCCTTAGCTCCATACACTTCTGTTCTGGAGATTTGATAGTCAAAGTCCTACCCTCCCTAATCAGAGGGCAAGGAGATACCATAATACTTATACCTATCAAATACTTTAATGTTTCTGTCTGTGCCTGTCTTTAAAGATTGTGGAAGGTAGACCATTTTTACAATCTACCATGCAAAACATTACATTGGAGCGAGCCAGATTGTGCTCCGTTCAATAATTTGAGATTCTGTGGATTGACAAAATATATTTGGACTAATAGTGCCTCCTTGTGGATTCGTGCCTGTATTACATGTCATAGCCTGGTCATAGCACGTCGCACGGCGTTTATCAAAGAAAGCCTGGTCTCATAGACTAGGCGTAACATAGTAAATATTATTCCGGTACAACCAAATGGGTATGATATGTTACATTTGGTATGGTTAGATAAGACAGAAGGTTACGTTAAGGCCCAGTGCAGTCAAAAGCGTGATTTTTCTGTGTTTTATATATATTTCCACACTGTGAGGTTGGAATAATACCGTGAAATTATGAAAATGATGATAGTGCCCTTTTAGTGTAAGAGCTGTTTGAAAAGGCCACTTGAAATTTCAGCCTGTTTTGGTGGGATGGAGTTTTGGCCTGCCTGGTGACATCACCAGGCGGTATATTAGTTAATAGACAAATAAGAAAGAGCGTTCCAATCCTCTCTGCCAATAACAACTAGTTTTCCCCTCCCCACTCAGACCACTCCTAGCAAAATTATTGCTTGAGAAATTACTATTTTTAGCTGTTTTTGTTTCTTTTTGACCATATTAATTGAAAACAATCACAGTAAGGTGCTTAATTGTTACCCAGAAAGGATTTTATATTTAGATAACAACGGCTGCATTGGACCTTCAAGGCAAAACGAAAGTAGGGTGGTTGGTCAGGGTGGCATATATCACGAAAGTCTAGCAACCCAAAAGATGCGTGATCGAATCTCATCCTGGCAAATGTTAGCTAATTAACAACTTTGCAACTACTTACTACTTTTTAGCTACTTTCCAACTAACTTAGCATGTTAGCTAACCCTTATCCTAACCCTAACCTTAACCCTTTATCCTAACTCCTAACCCTAACCTCTAGCCTAGCTAGCTAATGTTCTCGTTAGCTACCTAGCTAGCTAATGTTAGCAACAACAAATTAGAATTCATAACATATCAAACGTTTCGGAAATTCCTAACATATTGTAGAAATTGCAATTCGTAACATATAATACGAATTGTAACTCGTAACATATCATGCGAAATGGATGATGGACTTTCACAAATTAATACATATCATACGAAACATAACATAGCATTATTATTGATGAACACCGAGTTTACTTTGACTACGTTACGTCTTCCCATGAGTCCACGTTGCAGCCGAACGGAAGTGATATAAAGCAGCGTAAGCGGTCATAAGCGTTCTCTTTCCTGCCTATCCTTGGACGAGGAAGGCGGTGTATTCGCAGCGTTAATTTTACCAATAGTTTATCTACGAACATCAGGCAAAATGGTACGTTGATTTTGAATTGTTTTGCTATGATTCCGTGGACCGGAGATTCAGTGTTGTCCATGGGTAAAGAGTTGGAGCACTTCTTCTCCATTGCCGGTGACCAGTTGAAAGGAACAGGGCCCGGTGAAGCAGCCTCCGGGGCACCCAATATGGATGCTACCTGTTCGAACAGCATGACGATGTTTAGAAAACCGCGGCGGACATCGCTATATAAACGTCCATATGACATTTTAATGATTTGACGGTTACCAATTTCTCCTAATAATTTCGTTTACGGAATATTGTGGTTGCTTGAATCTACGCAGATGTCAAATGTTGGTTTTTACTATATAACCAACCATCTTTAGGGGTTTCAAGTCTGTTTTATAACTGGGCCCGCCCAGATAACTCTAGGCCAGGGTTTCCCAAACTCGGTCCTCGGGACCCCATGGGGGATTTTGCGAGAACACTGCACATCTGATTAAACTAATCAACAAGCTTTGATCATTTTAATCAGCTGTATAGTGTTAGGGCAAAAATCAAAACGTGTACTCCTTGGGGTCTCGAGGACAGAGTTTGGGAAACGCTGCTCTAGGTCATCACCCGCTATAATGTTTGGGGGGGCAACACTTGGTTTTTGACCACAAACGTTATAGTTAGTCACTGTTTGACAATGGTCATTGGCAACATCGATATTCAAAACCGTTGGTAATGGTAGCAAACTGTCCCATATGTCAATTCTAGTGTGTAACGCAATTATTTTTTATAACTTGGCCAACTGGCAGTAAAACGTCAGTTATTGGTTCAAACGTGGCATGACTTCTAGTTAGGTCTGTGTGTTGGCTTGCTCAAATTTAGGCCAGCAAGTGCAGCGTGATGCATTTGGGCAAAATGGGCAGTTCCCAAGTAGTGTGCGTCACTGCTTATATAAAAAAGGCCTCTACTCCAGTCTAGGGCGTCATATGCGCCAATGCTGACTAGTTAAACTCAAAGGATAATCTCTTCGCGTTTATCAACCGAATAGGACTGCCACAACTACATGAGTCATCGAGCCAGCTGCCAATATAACTAGATTAAAAAAGAGCAAATAAACTGCATGTTGTCTGCTGGTGGTCCCTCCCTTTTTAAATGGGCAATGTGTTGAATTCCAGTCTGCGCTAGACTACTGCAGGCTGTCATACAACCCGCCAAGATGGATGACATATCACCTCACCCCATTTGAATAGAAGACTAGTCCAAATGCAAATATCAGCATCCCTTTTCTGATGTCCCATCTAAAAGGGCTAGATCATCAGTCAATGTATTGTATCACCTTTTTCCTCTAGCTGGATGTGGTTATCAAATAAAGATGTTCTATGCTGCTATAGGACAGTCAGTCTATCTAGAGAATGTCTTTCTGCATTGCTTTTCATTTCTCTTTATAGGGTTTTGACCAGGGTTGCTGCTGTTAAGAAATGTCAAATGCATTTAAGCACCGTACATAGAGTGAATCTTAACTTTGACTTGAATTTTCACTTAGTCATGCACTGATGTCAGTGGGAGTTGGGGTTCCCCCCCCCCCCCCAATTTTTTTATAAAAATTTACTATTTTATTTAGGCAGTTTAGTCATCAAGACTAGAACAGGTTCTCTTTTCTGATTATGTGGATCTTTGTTGCTCAGGTGAACTTTACAGTGGACCAGATCCGTGCCATCATGGACAAGAAATCCAACATCCGCAACATGTCTGTGATCGCACACGTGGACCACGGCAAGTCCACGCTGACCGACTCCCTGGTGTCTAAAGCCGGGATCATCGCGGGGTCTCGCGCCGGAGAGACCCGCTTCACAGACACTCGCAAAGATGAGCAGGAGCGTTGTATTACCATCAAGTCCACGTAAGTAGTACAGGGTCGTGTTCATTCTGTTGCTAAAATGTCTTAAAACGAAAATGAGTTTCTTATTGGAAAAGTCTGACTGTTTCTTTAAAGTAAATACAACCCAGAAGTGTTTGAATCTCGCATATGGAATTGGCAGGTTGTTGCTTGGGGGTGGGGTCTTAAAGTTAAAATTGTTGGCCTTCACCAGAATAAATGTAAACTAACAAATCAAGTATATGTGTGTTTTACTTTAAGAGCGAGAGCTCTGCCTAACCCCCCTCCTCCCGCAGGGTGGCTTCTGAGCACTTTTTTCCCCCCATCATATGTTGCTGTCATATACGCACACTCGTTCATTAGAGGCTGCTGCCCTATGTACATAGTCATGGAACACTGAGCACTTTCATGTTTACATGCTGTTTTACCCACTGCATAGGTATATGCTGTATTCCAATCCTATTTAACTATTGCTGTACATGTACTATTCAGATATACTACATATTCTATCCATATACCATCCATATTGTCTATACATCACACATACTGACATTTCTTCATTCCATTCTTTAACTTTTTAGATTTGTGTGTATTGTTTAGATATGACTGAGCTGTTGGCACGAGGAACACAAGCATTTTGCTACACCTGCAATAATGTCTACTAATTATGTGCATGCGACCAATAAAAGGTTATTTGCTTTGCGTATGAGGAGGTTAGCTAAGAATTGTGTGGCTGAAAAACATACTGCATGTACAAATGCCTGAACTGAAGATGCCAGATTAGAGGTGGATAAATGTCATTGTCCGTGCTGTGGCGATTTTTCTTTAGCAAACAAAGCAGGATAAGTTACAGTACAGCTTGTTCAGTGCTGTTCTGTTCCACCTGCACACATCAACTAGTTTCCTACTCTCCCGTTCTGTCTACATCCCACAGCTGACTGGGACGCTTGGTTTCAGACAAAAACAACTACATTAAAATCTCATTCACCTATTCTCTCCTCCCTCGCTCCTCTCAGGGCCATCTCCATGTACTACGAGCTGGGGGAGAACGACATGGCCTTCATCAAGCAGACTAAGGATGGGCTTGGCTTCCTCATCAACCTAATCGACTCCCCGGGCCATGTGGACTTCTCCTCTGAGGTCACAGCCGCCCTTAGGGTCACAGACGGAGCGCTGGTGGTGGTCGACTGTGTCTCAGGTACACTTACGGTCTCTCCTGTCTTCTGTCCCAGTCGCCTCTCTCCCTTGGGCAGTCTTTCTTGCCCTTTCAGTTTATTTAGATTCCATGTATATTTTAGTCATTTAGCGGACGCTCTTATCCAGAGCGACGTACAGGAGCAATTATGGTTAAGTACCTTGATTTAAGGGCACATCAGCAGATTTTTCACTTCGTCTTCTTGGGGATTTTAACCAGCAACCTTTCAGTTACTGGCCCAAATGCTCATAACCGCTAGGCTAACCTGCTCATCTAACACCTTCTCGTGCTCCCCTGGTCAGGTGTGTGTGTGCAGACAGAGACTGTGTTGAGGCAGGCCATTGCTGAGCGCATCAAGCCGGTGCTGATGATGAACAAGATGGACCGTGCCCTGCTGGAGCTGCAGCTGGAGCCGGAGGATCTGTTCCAGACCTTCCAGCGCATCGTGGAGAACGTCAACGTCATCATCGCCACCTACGGCGAGGACGAAGCGGGACCAATGGGTGCCATAATGGTGAGACACACACAGGTTGCGTGAATGCAGGATTGTGTTTAATACGCAGGAAAGGAAAACGCATATCTAAAATGGTTATTGTAAATTCTGCTCGGTTTCAGTCAAGGTTCACTCCAAATCATGAAAATAAAAGTATATTTGCTCTTGTTGTTGGAGCACCAGACAGTGCTCTGACTAGTGTGTAGGCTACTTCTCTCTGGTAGCAAGGTTAACTTCAGGTAAAACATTTAGGAAATGTAGCTGGCTACATTCTTTAAAAAAATGATGGGCATGCATCGTTTTTGCAGCAACAAAATACCTTTGACAATGTGAGCTAATTTACTTGTGCGGCTGCTTGCCAAATAGTGTTGCACTGCTGTCATCTGAAACGATTTTGTTGCACTAATGTATTTTGTGTGAAGGGAAACTATAGTTGCACGCTATTGAAGCAAAAAAACACTGACTTTATGAAACACAGGTGAGATGGTTTGTTTTTGAAAATGTAGATTTCTGAAAGCTACTGCGACCTCTGACACACTTGATGAGCATAACTGTAAGTAGTGATCAGTTGGTTTGAATATCTTCTAACTTTCAGACAATTCAGAGCTTACACCGCGATGGAGAAAATCAATGTCCAGTTCAACTGACAGACAATGGGACTGGTCCCAATTCTCTGGCGTGATCATAGGTCAAACATGCTTCCCTAACAGACAATGACCTGGCCCTATTGTCGTCCCTCAGATTGACCCTGTGATCGGTACCGTGGGGTTTGGGTCTGGCCTACACGGCTGGGCCTTCACCCTCAAGCAGTTTGCTGAGATGTACGTGACCAAGTTTTCTGCTGGCAAAGAAACCCAGCTGGGATCAGCGGAGAGGTGTAAGAAGGTGGAAGACATGATGAAGAAGCTGTGGGGAGAGAGGTACATGCCCATACTACACACCCACTGTACACATAGACACTACTGCACATGCACGCAACCCCAGTCTACACATTGTACACGATGACACATGCACTGTACATAGAAACCCACTGTAAGAAGATGGGAGGACATGATGAATAATCTGTGGACAGAGCGAGGGTATTCAGACAAGAGTACTGGAACAAGATGTACACAGGTATGCGTGCGCTTAGATGGACAGACCGAAAGACACGCGTAGCACAAGTGGAATACGCAATGTAGAAATTACAGGTAGACGGGTACATACTTACTCTGGGTGCGTTCCAGATAGATGTTCTCTGTGCAGATTGTCAGATCTATACTGTCTGGAGAAGTGTAGCATCTCAGGAACCACACCAATGTAATTTAGTAATCATATAATTTCTACAGAGCTGCACTGAAATGTATCTGGAATGCACTTTCTCTCTCTCGCTCTCCCTCTCTGGGCGCACTTGATTTAAAAACGCCTGTTGTGCTGGTTAGGCGGCGCTTGTACCTTAGGACCGATGAAATGGCTCCAAAAGGGACAACTCCGCCTACCCCGGCGCTTCGGATGAATTAAATGAAGTGTGCCTGTTCTCTCTCTCGCTTTCTCAATCACACGCACACAGGTGAGGGCGTGGCAATATTGAAAAGTGATTTGCAGGTATGTGACGTGACACGGGCAGCCCCCTATATGTACAGGGTTTTTCTCTGTATGGAGACCTAAGGAAGACCAAAGGGTTGAAGACAAAGTAAACCCATTTGGGAGCCTAAATCTCAGGTGCGCACTCTTCTCTTATGTTGGCAAACAATCTGACGTGTTGCAAATATTTCCTGTTTTTGGCTGTTTACTTGTCACGGCTGATTGTAACATACTATATGCTTGCGAGTTCCTGGCTGTCGTAGTGACATGAAATGTAGTTAACTGTTGCATTTGTCTTTTTTTTCCTTGACTCATAATAGCACTGGTTTTGCAGATGGCAGCTATTTTTGAAGAAGGTTTTACCCAAAGGTTTTGTTTGCAAACGGGGTCGAGGTCAATTCGAATTGAAGTCGGTCAATTCAGGAAGTAAAATGAAAATGTTGAAACTGGTTATTTTCTCAAACTGAAGAGGATAAGCTATTTCAGAAGTTATTCCATAAAAAAAAAAAAAAATCAAATCACTAAATTAATTGACTTCAATTGGCATGGATAACTACCCTGGTTGCAACTTGAGTTTAATGCACCGCTCAGTCATTTAGCAGACGCTATTATACGGAACTGTCAATGTGAATATTAAACTGTGTGTCCACCTGGTAGGTTTTTTGACCCAGCCACTGGGAAGTTCAGTAAGTCTAACCTCGGCCCCGACGGTAAGAAGCTGCCCCGCACCTTCTCTCAGCTGGTCCTGGACCCCATCTTCAAGGTGAGAGGGGACATGACCCCCCTAAACTGTTTTAATTGATTTTATGCAATGCATTCACCAATATAAAATACATGTGTTTTTTTATGGTAAGCAACTTCTCCCTCCCTCCAGGTATTTGATGCTATCATGAACTTCAAGAAGGATGAGACGGCCAAGCTGATAGAGAAGCTGGACATCAAGCTGGACTCTGAGGACAAGGAGAAGGAGGGTAAGCCCCTGCTGAAGGCAGTGATGCGTCGCTGGCTCCCGGCCGGAGAGGCCCTGCTTCAGATGATCACCATCCACCTGCCTTCCCCCGTCACCGCCCAGAAGTACCGTTGTGAGCTGCTCTACGAGGGACCAGGAGATGACGAGGCCGCCATGGGTGAGGGCTCACAAACACGTACACGCAATGCTTCAGCCAGCCCACAGTTTACTCACTGCAAGACACACACTTGGCGCTATGATTTGATGGCTCACACAAGATCCAAAATTAAAAAGTAACGGTACACGTGCCTGTCCATGTCAACTAGCAAAGGATTAGACCTCACATTTCCTAGTTGATATAAAGTCTGGTTTCATAATCCTAATTAACCTCCCCCTCTCCTTGCCGCTCAGGTATCAAGAACTGCGACCCCAAGGCTCCCCTGATGATGTATATCTCTAAGATGGTGCCCACCACAGATAAGGGTCGCTTCTATGCCTTTGGCCGTGTGTTCTCTGGCTGCGTGTCCACCGGCTTGAAGGTGCGCATCATGGGACCAAACTTCACCCCCGGGAAGAAAGAAGACCTCTACGTCAAACCCATCCAGAGGTGTGTGTGGTACCATTTTTAAAGTGGCAGATGTGTGTGACTTAACTTTTTCAAGCATTGTTTATTCTTCCCCCGCTTCATCACTCGTCTTCCTCCCACTGTAGGACCATTCTGATGATGGGGCGTTATGTGGAGCCCATTGAGGATGTGCCATGTGGGAACATTGTTGGTCTGGTTGGAGTGGACCAGTATCTGATTAAGACTGGGACCATCACCACCTTTGAACAGGTGGGTTGTACAGCGCATCACCTTTTTACTATAGCAAAACTCAAGACCGCTTTGACTTTTTGTGACTGGAGTACTCCTAGACTTTTGTTCCGGTTAAAAGTAGTGCACTACATAGGGAATGGGGTGCCATTTTGGACGAACAATGGATGAGTATTTATGTATGCTTGTCCGACAGGCCCACAATATGCGTGTGATGAAGTTCAGTGTCAGCCCTGTGGTGAGGGTGGCTGTGGAGGCCAAGAACCCTGCTGACCTGCCCAAGCTGGTGGAGGGACTGAAGCGACTGGCCAAGTCTGACCCCATGGTGCAGTGTATCATCGAGGAGTCTGGAGAGCACATCATCGCCGGGGCCGGAGAGCTGCATCTGGAGATCTGCCTCAAGGACCTGGAGGAGGACCACGCCGGCATTCCACTGAAGGTGAGGGAGGGGGAGGAACAGGGCGTGGGGGACAAGGATTGTACTTGAGAGAGACTGATTTCTCAGAGTATAGTACATGGTAAGATGACCGTCATGGAAATATCTATGTAGACTAACTCACTGTCCTAACCTGATTCGCAACCCTCTCCTCACCCTAACAGAAATCTGACCCAGTGGTGTCCTACAGGGAGACCGTGTCTGAGGAGTCTGAAGTGATGTGTCTGTCCAAGTCCCCCAACAAGCACAACCGCCTATACATGCGGGCCAAACCCTTCCCTGACGGCCTGGCCGAGGACATCGAGAAGGGTGACATCAGCCCCCGGCAGGAGCTGAAGATCCGCGCCCGCTTCCTGGCTGACAAGTATGAGTGGGACGTGTCGGAGGCCCGTAAGATCTGGTGCTTCGGCCCCGACGGTACCGGGCCCAACCTGCTGATGGACGTGACCAAGGGAGTCCAGTACCTGAATGAGATCAAGGACAGCGTGGTGGCCGGCTTCCAGTGGGCCGTCAAGGAGGTGGGTTTAGGTTTGCTTTAGTTAAGCTTGACAACTAACTGCTGCATTGTGACTCATTTTCCTTGCCAAAGCTCATTGATGCGTTGTAGTTTAATGAAATCTACCTTCATGACTTCAGTTTATGTGTAAATAGATTAAAATCCAGTGTAGGCCATGCTACAGGTATCAAGTTTGCTTAATCATTTCTGTCCTGAGTTGTGATGTGCAGTTCCTTCCGCCCTCTTACAGGGTGTGCTGTGCGAGGAGAACATGCGTGCGGTCCGCTTCGACATCCACGACGTGACCCTGCACACGGACGCCATTCACCGCGGTGGCGGACAGATCATCCCCACCGCCCGCAGAGTGTTGTATGCCTGCCAGCTCACCGCCCAGCCACGTCTCATGGAGCCCGTCTACCTAGTGGAGATCCAGGTGTGTAACTACTTTGCCACCTGACCAGGAACTCGGCCGCTGTCTTATATTGAATTGTATGCTAGGCTATAGGGGTCTATTTGGAATCAAGTATGACGTTTCTGAGTAATGCGTTTCCTGCTTCTGCAGTGCCCAGAGCAGGTAGTGGGTGGGATCTACGGCGTGCTGAACAGGAAGCGAGGCCATGTGTTCGAGGAGTCCCAGGTGATGGGCACGCCCATGTTCATCGTTAAGGCCTACCTGCCTGTCAACGAGTCATTTGGTGAGTGAGCGAAATTGAACCCAACTCTGTGTAGAACAGTTATTCTTATCTGATGGGTAACGTCTAGAGATGACACATTGAACTCTGACCCAGTGTTCGACTACTGTCAGATAGACCTCAAGCGGTAACTGTCCTGTTCCCTGTTCCCGCCCCAGGCTTCACCGCTGACCTGCGCTCCAACACGGGCGGCCAGGCCTTCCCCCAGTGTGTGTTTGACCACTGGCAGATCCTCCAGGGAGACCCCCAGGACCCCACCACCAAGACCGCCATTGTGGTGGCCGAGACCAGGAAACGCAAGGGGCTCAAAGAGGGCATCCCAGCCCTGGACAACTACCTGGACAAATTGTAAATGTTGTCCTGGTTTCCCCCTAGCCACTACGACCCCCCCCCCCACACACACTTGTGTAGATTGATAATGATTGGCTAGGCATACGCAATGTGTTTGATTTCACCTAGCCTATCGGAGGGTAACGTGACACTATTGGCATATTGCTTATGGTATACCTATCCGACCCTTTCAGATCTACACAGTGCCCAGGGGAAGGGACTAGGGGTTGGTTTGGAATTGAGTGGTCTGACCATTTTTTTTTTCTTCCCCCTTCATTCCTTCTGTTCCTCCATTGTACGAGTGAGGGATGGGACTGTACAGTGCACTGTGAGCGCAGTAGCGCTTGCCTAAAATGAAAACCTGGTGAAACAAATCCAAGGATGGAAAATGTGTAAATCATAATAAAGATGACTAGAAATGGTACTTGGGGTGGACCTCTCTCTGTTCATTGGCTCAAATTACAAAACTATTTCTGTAATGTTCCCTGAATACTTAGGCTTTATTTGACCCTTGCATACATGATAAAGGCAAAGACAACCCAAGACCGGTGTTGGACAACTTGGTACTGTTTTGGAAACACATTAAAGGGCTCTATTCAATCTGCATTGGAAGTTCAGCTTTACATTGTGATTGCCTTTACATTTCAATGTTCCCTCTAGCGGGGACTGCGTTCACGGAAAACGCTTGTCGGCTCAACCGGAAATTACCTTTACATTTAAATCGCGGAAGCTGTGACGCCTCAGCGTTGGCTTATGTAGAGCCCCAGTGTATGAATCCTCGATTCCAGTTATAAGCATTTAAAAATGACTTTAGTTAGTCTGGTCCATAATTATTGGCACCATTGCTCAAGATGAGCATACCACTGTGTATTGCCAAAGAGCTCTATTTTCATGTCATTGGACAATGGCACTGCCTGGAGTTTGATAAATGGCATTGGTACCAGTGCTCTGATTGGATGACAAATTTGGCTCCTTGACCACGCACACCAGTGATTGGTTTGGCATTGGAAAAACAAGCTTATACTGAAAAGTACCTCATACTTATGGTGGATCTTTGATGGGGCTATTTTGCTTCTAAGTACCAGGACATTTAAGCCCAAAACCTGATTCTCTGCCAGCAGGCTGATGCTTGGTCACAACTGATCTTCCAGCAAGACTATAACCCCAAACACTAATAAAAATGAAATAAATTGTCTCTTGACTGGAACCCTGGGGTCTGAATTGAAGTGGGCAGACGGAGATCAAGCATATGGAAAGATTCTGAATGGTCTAAGATCCCTCACGTGTTCTCCAAGCCTCACAAGTGGAGGGCGCTAGAGTATTTAAATTATACAATATAGCTCCATTTTAGTATTTTTTGCTCATCAAGAGTGCCAATAATTATGGAACCAACTATTTTGTTGCGTTACTGAGAACTGAACATCCTGTCGCCTTGCATCGTCCACCTGACAAACAGAAATAACCAGAGGAATAATCCCATACTGTCTCTTTTAATTAAATGTTAATGCATGTATAATATACACCCCATAAACTTCTGTGGAGAGAATCTTTTTCCACCTGGATATACCATCGCTATTAAGATGAAACATGTCTAAATCAGAATGTGCAAATCCATGTCAGAACCAGCAGAACAACCATCCAAAAGCTATGTGCTGAATATCCTGTGAGAAGGCATTGACAAAAATATTTTATCAAATACATTTTGAATATGCAGACCTGATGGTTGAAACATTGTCTTAATAAAATAAGATTCCCACTGTCACGTGACCCCATTGGAGCACAGAGAGGTGATGGGGTTATTTCCATCACAACTCCAGTTCATTCAGTGTGAAAAGGACAGAAGCCCAATTCTATTGCCTTCCGTGGTACAGATCTGAAGAGATAGGAAAAGTAAGCTGGTGATTGCTCCCCCCAGCCCTCCAATAGGAGCAAGTAGGGTTATGTGCCTTGCTCAAGGGCACATCAACAGATGTTTCACCTAGTCGGCTCGGGGATTAGAACAAGCGACCTTTCGGTTACTGGCATAACGCTCTTAACCACTAAGCTACCTGCTGCCCTCCACTTACAGTCCATTCAGATCTGTGCACCCTAAAGGGCTAGGGGGAAGGTGTAGGGACGCAAAGTGGGTCACTGATCAGCACTGATCAATGAGATGGATCCTATTTGAACAAACCTGATTGGTAGTGTAACAGTCTGTTCATACATACACTACCGTTCAAAAGTTTGGGGTCACTTAGACATTTCCTTGTTTTTGAAAGAAAAGCAATTTTTTGTCCATTAAAATAACATTGAATTGATCAGAAATACAGTGTAGACATTGTTAATGTTGTAAATGTCTATTGTAGCTGGAAACGGCTGATTTTTAATGGAATATCTACATGGGCGTACAGAGGCCCATTATCAGCAACCATCAGTCCTGTGTTCCAATAGCACGTTGTGTTTGCTAATCCAAGTATCATTTTAAAAGGCTAATTGATCACCTTTTACAATTATGTTAGCACAGCTGAAAACTGTTGTGCTGATTAAAGCAAAGAAACTGAAGATCTCGTACAACGCTGTGTACTACTCCCTTCACAGAACAGCGCAAACTGGCTCTAACCAGAATAGAAAGAGGAGTGGGAGGCCCCAGTGCACAACTGAGCGAGAGGACAAATACATTAGTGTCTAGTTTGAGAAACAGACACCTCACAGGTCCTCAACTGGCAGCTTCATTAAATAGTACCCGCAAAACACCAGTCTCAACGTCAACAGTGAAGAGGCGACTCCGGGATGCTGACCTTCTAGGCAGAGTTGCAAAGAAAAAGCCACATCTCAGACTGGCCAATAAAAAGAAAAGATTAAGATGGGCAAAAGAACACGGACACTGGACAGAGGAAGATTGGAAAAAAGTGTTATGGACAGACGAATCGAAGTTTGAGGTGTTCGGATCACAAAGAAGATCATTTGTGAGACGCAGACCAAATGAAAAGATGCTGGAGGAGTGCTTGATGCCATCTGTCAAGCATGGTGGAGGCAATGTGATGGTCTGGGGGTGCTTTGGTGGTGGTAAAGTGGGAGATTTGTACAGGGTAAAAGGGATCTTGAAGAAGGAAGGCTATCACTGCATTTTGCAACGCCATGCCATACCCTGTGGACGGCGCTTGATTGGAGCCAATTTCCTCCTACAACAGGACAATGACCCAATGCACAGCTCCAAACTATGACTGCTTCTTCCCTAAATAGTTATTGCATAGTTTAGAGCTGTGCTTTGGGTCATTGTCCTGTTGTAGGAGGAAATTGGCTCCAATCAAGCGCCGTCCACAGGGTATGGCATGGCGTTGCAAAATGCAGTGATAGCCTTCCTTCTTCAAGATCCCTTTTACCCTGTACAAATCTCCCACTTTACCACCACCAAAGCACCCCCAGACCATCACATTGCCTCCACCATGCTTGACATTTCTGTCTATAATGGAGTGGCCAGCATAGTCACCGGATCTCAACCCTATTGAGCTGTTGTGGGAGCAGCTTGACCGTATGGAATGTAAGAAGTGCCCATCAAGCCAATCCAACTTGTGGGAGGTGCTTCAGGAAGCATGGGGTGAAATCTCTTTAGATTACCTCAACAAATTGACAACTAGAATGCCAAAGGGCTGCAAGGCTGGAATTGCTGCAAATGGAGGATTCTTTGACGAAAGCAAAGTTTGAAGGACACAATCATTATTTCTAACCTTGTCAATGACTACATTTCCTATTCATTTTGCTATATTTCCTATTCAATCTCATTTCATGTATGTTTTCATGGAAAACAAGGACATTTCTAAGTGACCCCAAACTTTTGAACAGTAGTGTACATTAGACTGCAGGGCTGCCCAACTCTCTCCTGGAGATCTACCGTCCTGTGGGTTTTCAGTCCAACCCTAATTTAACACATCTGATTCTACTTATTAGCTGCTCAACAAGACCTTAACTAGCTGAATCAGATATGATCAATTAGGGTTGGACTGAAAACCTACAGGACAGTAGATCTCCAGGAAGAGGGTTGGGCAGCCCTGCATTAGAGTAGCTGGATGCATCTCACTCCCACATATGCTTTTAGCTACAGACAGACCATACAAGAGGTGGTTCTGTAAACACACGTCAAGCTTTCCACCTTTTCCCCAAGTAAGAGTCAATGGTTAAGACCAGTTCTGACCAGTTTAAGACTCTTCCCCCAGGCTTTCTGGGTCTTAACCCCAGGAACCACAGTATAGAGGCCCAGTCCTCCCTCTCTCAGCAGACAAGACGGTTGTCAAAGTAACAAGTAAAACAAGCCGACATCACTCAACATCAAACAAACCCCTCTCCACGGTCGGTGGGAAATGGAAGAGGGAGTTGAGAGAGAGAGAGATAAAGAACATGTTCCAATAGTTGACAAATGCCTCCTTCACCCCTCCCTCTGACCTCAACACTCTCACAGAACTGGGTGCGTGGCTTCCACCGAACATTCAACAATCATGTAGGATCAGAGAGACTAAGGAAGGGCCACAGGGGGTAGATAGGCATTTGTTACATATTCAAACAGGGCCAGAGTCTCTCAGCAGTCCAGTGACCCCGTGCGCTCTGAGGTCATGAGGTCAGGGTGAGGTCAGAGGGGACTAGGTGTAGAAGATGACTTCAGGGATCTGTCCGTCCTCTACCGAGGTGCCGTTGTTGTTTCCCGCAGCGTAGCAGAAGGTGAAGCATGTCTTGGTGCCGGTGGAGGACGACTCGTGGGTCACCTTACGCATGCCCTTGGTCCCATAGTGAGAGTCAGGACCCTGAGAAAGACGAGGAGAGAGGAAGTGGAGAGAGTGAAGGGGAAGGAAAGAGAGGGATACAGAGCCAGAGAGGGATACAGAGCCAGAGAGGGATACAGAGCCAGAGAGGGATACAGAGCCAGAGAGGGATACAGAGCCAGAGAGGGATACAGAGCCAGAGAGGGATACAGAGCCAGAGAGGGATACAGAGCCAGAGAGGGATACAGAGCCAGAGAGGGATACAGAGCCAGAGAGGGATACAGAGCCAGAGAGGGATACAGAGCCAGAGAGGGATACAGAGCCAGAGAGGGATACAGAGACAGAGAGATACAGAGACAGAGAGGGATACAGAGAGGGATACAGAGACAGAGGGGGATACAGAGACAGAGGGGGATACAGAGACAGAGGGATACAGAGAGGATACAGAGACAGAGAGGAGCCAGAGAGGGATACAGAGACAGAGAGGGATACAGAGCCAGAGAGGGATACAGAGCCAGGGAGGGATACAGAGACAGAGAGATACAGAGACAGAGAGGGATACAGAGAGGGATACAGAGACAGAGGGGGATACAGAGACAGAGGGGGATACAGAGACAGAGGGATACAGAGAGGATACAGAGACAGAGAGGATACAGAGCCAGAGAGGGATACAGAGCCAGAGAGGGATACAGAGCCAGAGAGGGATACAGAGCCAGAGAGGGATACAGAGACAGAGAGGGATACAGAGACAGAGAGGGATACAGAGAGAGAGGGATACAGAGAGAGAGGGATACAGAGACAGAGAGGGATACAGAGAGGGATACAGAGACAGAGAGGGATACAGAGACAGAGAGATACAGAGAGGGATACAGAGACAGAGAGATACAGAGAGGGATACAGAGACAGAGAGGGATACAGAGACAGATAGGGATACAGAGAGGATACAGAGACAGAGAGGGATACAGAGACAGAGAGGGATACAGAGACAGAGAGGGATACAGAGAACATCACTGTGGTTACACACAGCCAGAACAGGACCACACCTATCCAGGGAGGAAATAACACCATTCAAAACATTCCAACCTAAACAAACATGTACAGTGACATGGATGTACAGTAAGCCTGTACCTTGAGTGTGGCGCAGGCTGTGTAGTTAACGTTGGGTAGGATCTCCACCGGCTCCTTGAACATGACTCTGAAGGTGTTGGATGAGCCATCACAGCTGAAGCCTGTGTCGTTCTGACCCAGCACTGTGTTACTGTCTGTGTGAATGATCTGGGAGGAGAGAAGGACACATTACAGAAACATCGCTTGCGTCCCAAATGGTACCATCTTCCCATTATAGTGCACCACTATTAACCAGAGCCCCATTGGCCCTAGTCAAAAAGTAGTGCAATATAATGGGATCAAGGTGCCATTTGGGACGCAACGGTCACAGATTCTACACCAACACACTGTTAATATATATCTATCCACAGGAACGTATATACTGTCATCAATGATTTAGGAGAGACAAACACCAGAGAGGGAAGGATCTATTTGTTCCAATGTATTCTGTTGATACAGACTAATTTAGTTAGTTAAGGTGGACAGTACCTGGATGTTGACTTGGTAGTCTGTGGGGCCGTGTATGGAGCCGTAGAGGCCAAAGCCCACCACGAAGATCCTCCTGTTCACTGAAAACCTGGGAGAGGTGGACAGGAAGAGTGGGAATATAAAAATAGGAGAGGAGAAGAAGAGGAGAGTGGGAGAGGTGAGGGCAGGAGGGATAGAGTATGCCCTCAGGCAATATTTTTGGGATTCAATTAGTATGTTTGTGTGTGTGATAGTTAATTGGGTCTGTGTGTGTTCTCACCGTATGCGGTCACTGGTCCCGCTGTAGCCCCAGCGGCTCTCCACCTGTCCGAAGCGTGTGATGCTGCACTCCTTCCCCCGGAGGCAGCAGCGAGGCCGGTCGATGAACTCCACGCGGGGCTTTGGGTTCACTGTGAAGTGAAGGAACAGACTCACCACCTCCCTGTCTGTCAGGATACTAGACTGGGCCGGCCCTGGGTGGAGACAGCAAGACATGTCAGAGTGAGACTGAGATAGTGAGAGAGACCTAGCATGCAAAAATGACTGTCTGTGTGTGTGTGTGTGTGTGTTACCTGCGGCGAACTCCTCGATAGTCATGAGTGGGAAGCGGATGAGGGCAAGGGCCTTGCCCAGGACCCTGCGTTTGTTCTCTGGGGTGGGCTGTAGCTGCTGCCGGTGGGCCTCTGCCTCTGCCCAGCGCACCGCCGCAACAAATAAACGCACCTCCCTCACCCCCAGAGTGTCCCGCTCCAGCACAGCCACTAAAGTATCTGAGAGAGGATAGATAGATGGAGGGAGTGGACAAGAGGGTAAGAGAGAAGACAGAGAGAGGGAGAAGAGAGGGAAGGAAGAGAAGACAGATAGGAGAAGGGGAAAGTGTGAAAAGGAGAGGGAGAGGGTGAGACAAACATTGCCATGCGCGTTTAAAGAATGGATTACCATATGTAGAGTGAACTACAAAATCCAGAGTGAACTACAATACCCAGATCTATGTCAGTGAAACCCTCAGCTGCGAGTGCATCTCCGGTATTCTTATCAATGTTCTCTAGACACAAGCTGGCAAGCTGGGGCTCATCGAACAGTCGGGCCTGAAACACACTCACATCGATCAGAGACTCACATGCAGTAAACAGTACTTTATATGAACTGACCAAGAATCTATGCAAATCAATGTTTTGGGACTGACCTATTGTTTTGAGACATTCAGACAAACTGTAGCAGACTTATTTTGATACTGGGTCAGGCCACACAATCAGGCACTGGTTGACTTGTTTAGAGACTGCATCCCAGACACACAGTACAATAGTAGCTAACCTGAGTGAGTAGCATGAAGGCATTGTCAGCCCGCAGGTTCTTCTTGAGGAACTCCACACAGTGGGCCTCCAAGGCCGGCACTGCATACTTCTTAGCCGTGTACAGAGTGGTCATCACCGTCTCAGGCCCTATCTGGACCTCATCAGAGTACAGGAACCTGGAGGGGACAAGATTAGATGACTGATAGCAGGGCACCTTTAATCTTAAGGCGTCAGTATTTGTATTTATTAGGGATCCCCATTAGCTGCTACCATAAGACACATTACACATAAAACAAAAGATAAAACAGTACATCATATAACACTATTACACCACTACATATCTACAATACAAAATGTATAATACCATCATACAACAATATTACAATCTATCTGCGTATCTTGCTTCAGTTCGGATGGCGGCTAGCCGAACCGAACGAGTGACTCCCTTAAAATACCTTCTTTCAAAAAACGAGAAAAAGGCAGCAATAGTACCGTTTGTCAATTTTGAGTCGCCGTAACCAGTATACACTTCCTCAAAATAGTCTGAATTAATCTAAGATAACTCAAGAAATCTGTAATTAATTTAGACGTTTTTGGCGAGGAGATCTTAGTCGCGCCATTTTACATCTAACTACAATGTTTGGTGCAGTATTTCTGAATGGGAAAAAATAGCATTATAACAAGTCGTCTCTCGTTGAATAATTCCTACAGTTGTCCAATCACGTACGTAGGGGCGTATACTTCGGCTACCGGACTTCAGCTGGCCTTACGGAAAAGAATGTCGTGTGCCGGATCATCGGAAAGAAAACCTTACCGAAGTTCAAAACGAACAAAAACGTCACAAAATATCGTCATAATATATGCACGAACTCTTCCGAACTGTTTCGGCTGGGAAGCACAAGGACGCCTTTAGTGGACTTAAAGGCCCTGCATGGTCAATCTGGGGCCTGAAGTGGCCATACTACATTTACTGATTCAGCCTCCGCAGATGTCAGGGCTTTCATACTTCTTGCGCTTAGCAGAGCAAAGCTATTGTGAAGGAAGCGAGTTTGTGTTTAAGGATAAGAGCGTCTGCTAAATGACTAAAATGTAAATGTATTTATATAGGATGTACCGCCCCCACCTATCGTTAACCAATCATGTCAATATGGGGCTATACGGAGCCCTCCACATTGTTACAAAATTTGAGAGGCGCACTGTGATGCGGTATGGAGCTTGATTTGGCCTCTACATGCCTCCAGGGGCTCTGCAATTGCGTCACACCCGTCATACGAAGCCTCCGACCACATGTTCAGATCGAGTATATATATTATATATTAGTCATTTAGCAGACGCTCTTATCCAGAGCGACTTACAGTTAGTGAGTGCATACATTTTTCATACTGGCCCCCCGTGGGAAATGAACCCACAACCCTGGCGTTGCAAGCGCCATGCTCTAACAAGTGAGCTACAAGGGACCTGTAATGCATAAGTTGGCATTAACAGTCTTGGGTGGCACAGATAACCTGGGTTCTGCATATGTAACAGTGTTGTTTCCGGCCCTCTCCTCGCCTTGAACCAGGGACCCTCTGCACACATCCAACAGTCACCCGTCGCTCCACAAAAGCCTACTTCAAGGTCTCAGAGCGAGTAACGTCACCGATTGAAACGCTACTAGCGCGCCGCTAACTAGTTAGCCATATCACACCGGTTACACGTACTATATGGCCATAAACTGTCAAATACCTTGGATGGGAGGAGACCATTTGGGGTATTATGATTGGATCTAAACCATAAAGTCTTTCTTACTTACTTCAGTAATGCCAGAAAGGCAGCAGGTTCGACATCTGGCAACTCGATTTCCGTTGAGGTGGTCGCCATACCCCCATTGAACATGGCATCGAAGACTGCGCTGCCCACAGCAAGAACGAACCTAACCAAAACAAAAGCCATCAAATCAAAACAATGCCTTTCACCACTAACATGATGCATTAAAGTCGCTTGGATTAATAAACACGAAAATTAGACAAATTTCGTTATTCTACTAACCATTCTTTGTAGACAAACTATGTAAGCTATAACGTTAGTTATAAGAGAAATACACGTTCGTTCTTACCTGTGTGCGGGTATTCGTTGCACTCCCATACCTTTCCCCACCAGAAAATGAACGTCACTCAGAACTTCGTTATTGAACAGGAAAGCAAATCGTTCCTTTACGGTGCTTTTCGTCGCCTGCCAGTTGTACACGGGCTCCCTGTAAACCAAAACAGCGGCGGCCGCTGGTGCTGACGACAGTGAGGAATGGGTCCCTGGTACACTCGCAGCGGACACATTCGATGCTGCACTCGCAGTCAAGTTCGTAGCGGAGGTCGCCATCGCTCCGGAGGCCGCCCCTGCCGCGGTGCTTTGAGCTGACGCTTGCTGAATCGAGTTCTGCACGGTCGGTGGAGTTCCAGCTGCAACACCGGCGCTTTCGCCTCCGCCAGGCCCCGACTGCGGGTTGGGGCGCCTTGCAGCCCCCTGAACCCCTCCGGCCGCACCAGCGGGCCCACCGTTGGACGTAGGAATTGAATAACCACTGTTGCTGGGCTGGCCATTTCCCAAAGGCCCTGGGCCGGAGAAATGTAGGCAGGGAGGCCTGCCGCTGTAGTCCCCAGCAGCCATCTTGAATCTGACAGAACGTGGGAGGGGCGTGACGTAGACATAAACGAAAGGGCGGGTACGTGAACCAGAGGTAGTTTTGTAAAATATGTTTGTATATTTTTGTTATATTTGTTGTTTAATAAAAAAACATGTAATGAAAATTAAAAAAGAACCATAGGCTCCAGACAGGATACCCGTAGACACAGATCCAGGATCATATTATCCTCTTCCCACCTAACTACAACCAATTGATTATCCAGTAATAAAAACTGGGTGGTTTGAGCCCGAATGCTGTTTGCCTGAAAGCCGTGGTATATCAGACTGTATACCACAGGTATGACAAAAAAATAATTTGTACTGTTTTAATTATATTTGTAACCAGTTTATAAATGCAATAAAGCACCTCAGGGGGTTGTGGTAGATGACCAATATACCACGGCTAATGGCTGTATCCAGGCACTCCGCGTTGCATCGTGCGTAAGAACAGCCCTTAGCCGTGGTATATTGCCCATACTGCTTAATTATTGCTTAATTATAAACTGGGTGGTTCAAGCCCGGAATGCTGATTGGCTGACAGCTGTGGTATATCAGACCGTATACCACGGTTATGACAAAACATGTATTTTTACTGCTCTAATTACGTTGGTAACCAGTTTATAATAGCAATAAGGCACCTCTGGGTTTGTGGTATATTGCCAATATACATTTTACATTTTTTTTTTTTTTTTTTACATTTTTTAGTCATTTAGCAGACGCTCTTATCCAGAGCGACTTACAGGAGCAATTAGGGTTAAGTGCCTTGCTTAAGGGCACATCGACAGATTTTTCACCTAGTCGGCTCGGGGATTAGAACCAGCGACCTTTCGGTTACTGGCACAACGCTCTTACCCACTAAGCTACCTGCCGCCCTATATACCACGGCTAAGGGCTGTATCCAGGCACTCTGCGTTGTGTCATGCGTAAGAACAGCCCCTTAGCCATGGCCATTGACCATATACCACACCCCTTCGGGCCTTATTGCTTAACTATCCGGTATTATCCACTCTACCTTGAACTAGAGAGAGCAATCTCTGGGTGAGCTGTACAGTGCACAACATGAGAAATAGCCCCACTGCCGCCAGATGGCGCTATTATTCCTTACTTCATTTGACAAGAGGTAAGGAATAATAGCGCCATCAGGCGGAAGTAGGGTTACATGAGAAAGTGAGCGATAATACTTACCGGTAATTGGTTTAATGATTTGATATCAGTTGTGACAAAACAATACATCAGGTAATAATCCTCACACTATGTTATGATCTGATAGCCTACACAAAGTACATTTACATTTATTGAAAATCAAACTTTTTCAATTAAATTGATTGAATGAAATGAATCAGTTGTTTCCATGTCTATGAAATACTTGATGCATAGCTTCATTTGAGACAGGGGCAGAAACAAACATTATTCTTCCTTTTTACAAGGATTTACATCTTCTTGTTTTTTCTCTTCAACAACAAATGACTGATTGTTAAAAAGCATTATACAAATGACATATAATTTATTGGCTGATTGGTTGTTTGTCTGTGAAATTTACAAATTGTCCTGATCCATTGTTTTATTAAGGAAGCAGAGAGAAAAAATGAAATAGTGGCATTTGACTCTTGGAACGCACAGTGTATTAATACTCAGCTATGAAGATTAGGACTCAGAATCACGTGCAGAGTTCAGTCAGTGATACACATGAGAAACAAAGAGATATTATAATATGTTTATCAATGTTGAGGTAATAAAGACATTGTTAGAATAAGTGATTCCTCTGCTGTGCCAACACATCCCTGGGCCCAGTTTTTCAAAATATATCTATCTGATAGGATTAAATGCATAGAAATAGAATTAATAGAACAGGAATCCCCATTCTATTAATTCTATTTCTATGCATTTAATCCTATCTGATAGGCAAAATCCAGATAGATAACGTTTGAAAAACAGACTGTACCACCGTATCCTGAATGACTTCCTAATGACTGACCATACAGAGCAGAGCTGTGGCCCCAGACTGCCTCTCTAACACACATGACCAGAGATACAGTAGAGCTATATGCAGACATGGCTTCATCAATGCTGATTTAGCCGGGGATATGTACCTAAAACCCTTCGCCATCTTGTCTTTACAATGTGCTCCTTTATCATCTCTTTATCAAATGCACAGTTCAAAACGAAGTGGAAGCTTTAAACAATATTTTCATTTTCACCTGGTGAACAGCAGGTGGCCAGTGATGGTGGTGGTTTACATCGTCAAATACCCATGAGTTTACACACAGTCGCATGAAGACCACATCTCCCACCTCCAGAAACAGTGATACTCCATTATAGGAATTTACATCATAGCTAGCTTGTTGTGCATAAGCTATAGCTACTTGGTGTCTATTCTTGACCAAGACAGCACCTGTGGGAATTTCACTGTGACCACAGCCAAAGACTTTGAACGTAAACTGATAGACACCCTTTACTGGTGCTGTGAATAAACGTGTATGAGGGGAACATTTATGAATAGTTTTATAACAGGTTGAAAGTTGGGTAACACTTTGCATTACCTTTTTTATATACCTGTCTAAGAAACTGAGTTTCTCATCTGCAGATCAAAAACAGATTGTTTGCATAAAGTAATCAATGGCTTGAAGCTAAAAACATTTGCATTTAATTGTCTTTTGAATTTGCTAAAGTTTTCTTTACCAGTGTTTGAGTTATAGGCATTGCCGATGTTTATGAAGACGTCTTTGTAGACCAGTATAGTTTCAGCATTGTATGGGTCCTGTGTTTCCGTCTCCTGATGCAAACAGTGAAGCTGAGAAAGCCACCTTCCTGACTGTGAGACACAAATTAAACATTGGTATTAGCTCTCTTTTTTCGGTTTTCAAATACTGAAAGCCTGGACAGTACATATTGGGGATATTCCATTGGGCCTGTGTAGCCACTCATAAAGCACTCGTAATTAACAGCATATCATTACCATGCAGCAAAAAATTTAACATAATCATCATAATCAACACAACAAGCTAGCCATTCTAATTAGCAGCATTTTAACATTGCATATGGTTATATTATTCATTATGAATAATGAATTACCTCATAAAGGGAAAGAATGACTTTATTTCGAAAATTGCACCTTCATTTTCTCTCTTCAGCATGTCCACCTGGGTCTTTAGGTTTTTCGTTAGTGATGACATAGTTGATTTTGAGATATAAATTGGGCAGGAGCTCACCGGAGGTGAGAACCGGCACCTAAAGAGTTCTACTGCTTAATTTCCTGCACTTCTTATAAAATAACTCGGATCTGCAGCCTCTGCCATTTTAATATGTAAAAACATTATGGGGTTATTCATAACACTTTATACTTCAGTATCAAGCAAGAATACCCAGTACAACAAAGGGAAATGATTACTGTTTTTTAACTTCATTCTCTCTCTTCAACATGTTCAGCTGATCTTCGGTTCCTCCAACGCGCTCATTTTAACTGCCTGGGCTACAATGACATAAATACAACATTGTTATACCAGTGGGAAATCGAGATATGACCAGTAGTCCACAGACATTTTTTTGTTTACTCAACCTTTCGGTCCAAGTGTTAGTTGAACAAAAAAAAAAAGTTGACTCAAACATTGTCAACTTAAAATTTTGTTTGGATAAATTGTCTCATACGTTCATGATTACATTGTGCATTTTAATTTATGCAGTAATTCATATTCCATTAATTGAATGTCCTCACCTGGGATTCGAACTCACAACCTCTTGGTTAATGGCATTCCAATCTTCCTGCTACGTTCAAGATGTCTGTGTCAATGACTGATTCACCTGTATTGCTACACTTTGCACTACAAAGTAACTCTCAGCTCTGTTAAAAGAACACTCAAGACAAACTATTTTATTTATCATAGTGATTAACGAGTAACATTAAAACAGACCAATATGCTCCACCCACCAACATTAAACAACTATACAGAAAAACCTAAAATTGCTGAAATAAGTTCATCAAATCAATAACGAGAGAATAGTCAGATTAACTGACAATTGACGCAGACATGGTGGAGTAGCAGGAAGATCAGAATGCCATGAACCAAGAGGTTGTATGTTCAAATCCCTGGTGAGGACATGTTGAATAATAATTACTGTATAAATGAACATGTAAATTCATTATTACTGTATAAATGAATATGTAAGTTGAAAACATTGTTTGTTAAAAGCATTGTGTGTAACCAGTTGCACATACTTGTTTCAGGTAACACTTGGACCGAAAAGTTGAATAAACTTTTTTTTAAAGGTAGTGGAACCAGTTACTTAATAATAATTAGTTGAAACAAGTAGATTTTTTTTTTTACAGTGTAGATAAAATGTATATATTTTACACATTACAGTACATTTCAGGTTATTGTATGTTCATAGTTTACTTACCAACTATGTTCTCAATACAAAGTTTTTTAAATCATTTGTCCCTCATATTACCTTAATTTTCTCTCTTCAGTTCTTCTACCAGTTTCTCAGTAACATTTGCGCTGGTTTTCACAGCAACTAGCTCCACTGCTTGGACTGAAATACAGGAGTTGTACGGCACTGAATATCGAAATATGAGACATTTTTAAATTATATTATTATTCTATATAGTGTCCTATTAGGAACACCTCAGTCTCAGCAGGACCTGTGTCAATCCCAGCAGGAGTAATCGGCCATGTCTGCCTAAATGACTACCGACTAAATAACCTGCCTAAATGACTACCGACCCATGGCACTCACATCTGTAGCCATGAAGTGCTTTGAAAGGCTGGTCATGGCTCACATCAACACCATTATCCAAGAAACCCTAGACCCACTCCAATTTGCATACCGCCCCAACAGATCCACAGATTATGCAATCTCTATTGCGCTCCACACTGCCCTTTCACACCTGGACAAAAGGAACACCTATGTGAGAATGCTATTCATTGACTACAGCTCAGCGTTCAACACCATAGTGCCCTCAAAGCTCATCACTAAGCTAAGGACCCTGGGACTAAACACCTCC